AACTGATGCAGAACTCGGGAAAGAGTAAATTCAAGAGGACCTCGATAGATAGGCTGCTGAATCTCTTAATAATCGGCATAGTTCTATTTTTACTATCACTCTGTCTATTCTGCATGATCGGCTGTGGCATCTGGGAGAGTCTTGTCGGTCGCTACTTCCAGGTAAATCTCACGACTTATAGACGACTATATGAAAACTATTTATTCTATACAATTCGCAAAAGGCCGTATTTTAAAATGATAATTAGACAATGAAAATGTTTGATAATCGATGTGAAATGTAGAAAAATCGTCATGTTTTTTCGTCTTTAAGCAAATTGCAGAGTTAAGAATCTGCATTAAGTTTCAATGGTACGAATCGTTGAACAGATATGGTAAAATATTATTATATAAAAGTTATTACGTGTATTCGTAAATTGAAAATGGCCTCGATCATTGATTTGACACAACATCGCACAATACTTAATAACTTATGCTGTAATAAATGTATTTATGTTGGTTAACTTCGCTTCGAGTATATATCTCGAGCACAGACGTTCGAAACTAAAGAAATGATCAATTTCATAAATTTCAATGTTCAAATTTGACACTTAACATACACAATTTTGTTTAGAACACGTTGCGTTCTTTTCGGGGTAATTTTAATATTTCAATTATTAATTGTCAAAACGTCGAATTGGCCTTTATTTATGAAATATGGGGAAAGTGCAAGTTCGTTACATTTATATTCCGTCGTCAGCTATTACGAAACTACAAATTCAAATCTCATAAAACTCTAGAGCTCGTAACGTATTCATCAGCAAAAATTATGTATTGTCACGTTTGTTTTTTTCTTTTTTAAATGTCAAAGAGTCGGGTGTAATGGGTCGTTTTAATGTTAATTAATCGCGGTTTTACTCACCACTGAGGGTCCGTACGCAATGTTTACACTGTACGGGCACTTGGACGATCAGCGCGGATAAGTGAACGAATGAAAAAATCTTCGAACGTAGCTTTTGTGAGAGGGATGGGGAGGAGGAGGAGGAGGTGGTGGCCGTTAGTCGGTCAAACGAGCTCCACCCACCGACGCGTTGTCATGATAAACGCAGCCGAGAGTCGCGAGAGAATGAGCTAAGGACGGTAGGGAAAAGTAACGCATTGTAAAAACTTGGACAGGTCTACCTGCCGTGGGATTCGCTGGTGCCAAGTGAGCCGCTGGCCGGTGCCACGGTCATAGCCCTCCTCGTATTTTTTTCCTACGCCATTGTACTCAACACCGTCGTGCCCATCAGCCTCTACGTGAGCGTCGAGGTAATTCGTTTCGTCCAGTCCTTCCTCATCAATTGGGACGAGGAGATGTACCACGCGCCGACGAACACGCACGCCCGCGCCCGCACTACGACCCTCAACGAGGAGCTCGGGCAGATACAATACATCTTCTCGGACAAAACGGGTACCCTCACCCAGAACATCATGACCTTCAACAAGTGCTCGGTCGCCGGTCAGTGCTACGGCGACGTCATCGACGAAGTCACCGGCGAGGTCGTCGATCTCAGCGAAGTTAGGGTAACTAGACGCTCGCTTAACCCGCGACGATGACGTTTATCACGACACTTAAGTCGACGACGCACGTTTATGCTTCTATTGTCTCGTGTGCTCTCTTACCCAGCGATAATCCTAGGCAACGCGATGCCGTCGAATGTTGTGCTGCCCCATCGATTTATATATACTGTGTGAATGCTGTTTTAGTATACCATAAAGCACTGAGAGAAACGGGACTCAAAAAAAATTTTCTTTGTTATTGTGTTTGGTTTTTTTTTTCCTATTTTGTTTTGTTTTTGTTATACTCTGCCTTGTCATTATTGTCTTAGGCGGAGGATGTAGCTGCCTCTTATGATAGATTAGTATGGACAATTATTGATTGACGAATGGACAGAAGAAGAAATTACGTGTCCCCGAACTGCGTCCGGATTTTACACAAACAGTTTCATTCGATTGCAGATCAATTACACATAATCACATAAAATATTCATTTTTTTTTTTCTTTGTTTTTAACATTTTAATTTTTGCCTTACGAGAGACGCGTATAAACTAACTTGATAATGTCGATATAAACGAAGCGTTGATTTAAGTGTTGGATTTTTAGGTAACCGTACATTTATATGAAGCAAAGAACATTTCTTTGCCAACCTTAAACATTCAAAATTAAAATTAATGAGCATAATTATTTGATACTGGCATTTTCAATAAAGACACGTACATTTCCGTAAAATCGAGTCTCCCCGCTCCCCTTACATACATTTTATACGTTTATTTATTGTGTGATTTTAAGTTTTCAAAACATGTTATTATTACGTTCTTGTTTTTCGTGTGATGATTGCCTCTATTATCTTGCATATAGAAAGCAAAAAATTTACATCCGACACCGCTTGAAATGTATCGTCTCTGCCTGGAAAACAGATTTGCAAAGACTTTTGTACTTTTTTAAACACCAAATGCAAATTACATTTAAATCAATTTTCGATTTTTTCTTTTTCCTTTGTTTTTTGTCTGTTTGTTTTATTTTGTTTTGTTGTTGTTGTTGTTATTATTATTATTATTATTATTATTATTATTATTATCATCATCATCATCATCATCATCATCATCATCATCATCATCATCATCATCATCATTATTATTACTTTTCCTTTTTTACAATTTAATTTTGATATTTTTCATCAAATGTTATCTTCGAGTATCGATGATTTTTCATTCAGTCAAGTGTATTATTTATTAACCGTTAATCGGTGTCACATTAACTTCCAAATTAAATTACGAATAAAAACAAGCATATACAAGCGTATAATATATTCTAAAGTATTGACAATGTAATGACAATAAGATAAACCATCGATACATTTAAAATGGGATATTGCATACGAATTTTTTATTTCCACTCATTCGATTAAAAGCAATTTATTTATTTATCAGTTTAAGAACACATTTATTACCGAGATCTGGAACGTACAAACTTCCATGCGATTTCCCAATTTCCTAAATGCGCTTAAAGAAAATAGACGTTGAGATTGTGCTGTGCATAAATTATTTAGCGCATGTGTATGTGTGTGTGCTGCATGTAGACAGATAAGGCCGTGCACACACCGACAATGAAATGGAAAAACGGACAGGAATTTGTACGACCAGTATATACACCTCTTAGCGGTGCGAATGTTCGTCTGCTGGAACAAGCCGACCGAATATCCAGTACAACACCCGAGCCGGGCATCAATGGCGGTGCTAAAGTTCCACTTAAACATTCAGTACGCATGCTTCTGTCTCAGTCTATATTACACATAAATATATCATCTTGTCTTCGTATATATTTACATTTATATTTATATTTAGATTTATATTATATTGCATCCTCACTAATGCTATATCTTATTAATTTAATATTTAATCTTGCATAAGTAGAATAGTATTAAAGAAAAGCGAGAAAGCATGTATTTCACGTGTTTTTTCTTTTTGTCTACTTTTTGTTCTTGTTTTTCTTTTACTTTTCATGTTTGATATTTTACAAGCCTTAACGAAGCGTTTTTACTTTGACTTTGCTCTTTTACCTAACACCCCTTTTACATCACTCGACTCATGATTCTTATAATGTGTGCTCTATTAATTATCTATGGGTATTTCAAAGCTCGAAAGGTTTCGGAGGAGGATCGTTTTCTAAACTACTTGGCTCTTCATTAATAGCGACTACACAGACTTACTCCTTGATCTTTCAGGATTTACCGATGTCACGAGGTTTTTTCTATTCCGGACGAATTCTTTAATCAACGAGTCCATACGTCCATATTTGCTTAAACGCGAACGTGGCACACATATGCTTTAAGAAGTGGCTGGCAAAGCTCTTAACACAAAGTTAAAATATTTGGCCGAGATTATCGTTGTAAAACCTTCCACTCGTTTATAATATATGAGCCAGCCTACCGTACCCTTAATTGAACGCAAAAATTTCTCTTGAATAACCATAAGCTAACGCCAATCTAAACCACCCTAAACTCTCTAAAGAATATGTCGGCGATAGCGAAAGCCTACGTTACAAAAAAATTGATGCTCTGTCTCTCTCTCTCTCTCTCTCTCTTTTTCTCTATCTCTTTTTCTATCTCTCTCTCTATATCTCTATATATATATATATATATATATATATATAATATATATTTATGTATATATCTATCTGTCCATCTATCTATCTGCCTATCTCTGTCTCCATTTTCCACGAAAAACGAAAATCTCAACAGACCGTCCCGTCACTGGACTTCTCATTCAACAAAGACTACGAGCCGGAATTCAAGTTCTACGACGCGAATCTCCTCGACGCGGTGAAGCGCGACAACGAGAATGTGCACAGCTTCTTTCGACTTCTGGCGCTCTGTCACACGGTGATGGCAGAGGACAAGACCGGGCACCTGGAGTATCAGGCCCAATCACCTGACGAGGCGGCCCTCGTCTCCGCGGCCCGCAACTTCGGCTTCGTCTTCAAGGAGCGATCCCCAAACAGCATCACCATCGACGTCATGGGCAAACGCGAAATCTACGAGCTCCTCTGCATCCTCGACTTTAACAACGTGCGCAAGCGGATGTCTGTGATACTGAGGAAGGACGGGCAGCTGAAACTCTACTGTAAAGGCGCGGACAACGTTATCTACGAGCGCGTTAAGAAGGGCAGCGAGGAGATCATGGCGAAGACGCAGGAGCATCTGAATAAATTCGCCGGAGAGGGTTAGTGTATGATTATTAGAGTCTCCTTAATGTTTACACTTCACGCTTCTTCGAGCGATCGTATTGACGCGGCATATTATTATTTAATATTTAATACCTTGTGCACGATCTTGACAAGCAGGGACAATGAAAAAATTAATGGGATCGTTGACTCGCCAAGAATAGTTATAAACAAACATGTCCATGTGTCGATGCGCTAGTGTATGAGATCTAAGCTTCAACAATAGTAAACTCAGGGTACAATTGGATTTTGGAAAAAAAACGCGTCTCTCTTTCTCTCTTTCTCTCTCTCTCTCTCTCTCTCTCTCTCTCTCTCTCTCTCTATTACACACACGTGCTTAAATGTGTATTTATTTAATTAATTTTATGCCAATTACCGAGGGAATAACAATGCCGCAAATTAACGAAAAATAAGCATCAAAAGAAAAGTAAGAAAGCGACACTACACTATTGTATTTCTCATGAGCCCTTGAAGTTATTAAGTTTTATTTATTGATATATTAAAATAGAGCTAAAGGGTCTTCGACAAGTAGTAGCAATTTGTAACGAGTGGCTTATATGTTTTAGGATTACGTACGCTATGTCTATCGACCAAGGATCTCGACGAAAGTTTTTTCAACGACTGGAAACAAAGGCATCAAGAAGCAGCCCTCAGTCACGAGAATAAGGACGACAAGCTCGACGCTATTTACGAGGAGATTGAGAAGGACATGACATTGTTAGGGGCAACAGCCATAGAAGATAAGCTTCAAGACGGCGTACCCCAAACCATTGCTAATCTCGGTCTCGCCGGCATCAAACTTTGGGTTCTCACAGGCGACAAACAAGGTTAATCTTATTTGCCTCGTCATTGTGAAAAGTCGATAAACATTAAGCTCGAATGACGTTGTTGCTCACCGCAATAATTTCAAGTCTTGTAAATATTAATATCAATAACGTTGTCCTGCCCGAGGCGTAACGTACAGTTTGTTTTAGCTCAATTGCAATTGCAATTGCAAGGGCGAGGGCGGGGGGTGGTGAGAGAATTACAAGGGATTTGGGAAAGGAGAAGAAGGAAATATGTTAAATACATTTCATTGCGTTTTGTTGTCCAGAAACGGCGATCAACATTGGTTACTCTTGTCAATTGCTGACGGACGATCTGACGGATGTGTTCATCGTGGATGCAACGACGTACGATGGCGTTGAAACGCAACTCAAACGGTATCTAGAAACAATAAAAGCGGCTTCGAATCAACAGAAGAGGCCGACTCTCTCCATCGTCACATTCAGGTGGGACAAGGAAAGGTCAGGCAAATGAAAGAGACGGAGTACGATCCTTACACAATTCTTCTGTACTGCATTTTCTCATTTTGATCGATGATGCAATAGAACGTTAAAACCAAAAACAAACAAAAAAACAAAACAAAAAAAAAAAAGGAAAGCCTTAGAGGGGATATCTTCTCGCACTATAAATGTGGCACAATGCTGTGTGTGGTTATGCTTTATCTGTTAATCAAGAAGATAATTTGATTATTATTAAACAATCCGTGGCTTAATAGTAGTCACTATTCATAATGAACTATCTCAATTTTGCTTAGAAGAATTCCACACCTGCATTGGTTTTGGTAAAGATTTGCCTTATTCATTGTAATTTACAGCGAAAGAAATGCTTTCATGTTCCTCAAAGTCTTGCGAAGAAAATCGAATAAATTTCTTTCGACTCGCTTAGACTTAGTGTATGTGTTTTGCATTAGCTTCATTCTTCCAAAAATACCAGTTTACAATGTTCTAATAATTACCACAATCTCATCCTTTTCCATAATTTTTTTTTTTTTTTTTTTTTTTTTGAGAAATAAAAGAGAGAGAGAGAACAAAAAAAATATCTTTAAGTAATTACCTTGCATGTTATTGGGATAATTTATTCAAAATTGTCTACATATAGTAATGTACTTTTAGTGGGCGTAGTTATTGGTACTCCACTTTTGTCTTAAAGTATGAAAATGCAACCTTTAGAATAGAATAGAAAGATAATTGTTTATACGTGCGCCATTTACTATATCCCCGCCACACTTTAAAAGAAAAGAAAAACAATGAATTCCTACTCTGTATTTAATAATTCGATAGTTCATGAATAATTATTATTTAATGCTTGATACTCACTCCTTCTCTTTCTGTCTGCTTAATTAAAATTAATCTTATCGATAATAACAAAATAAAAAATGTCTTGTGTCTCACGTCACGTTTGGATATTCATCACACGTTCTTTCGTGAATGCGTTCTTAATCGTGCTCTACAAAAACTCGGATTGTTATTATTATTATAGCGGGCTTGATTTATGTGTAAAATCGTAGCGAGATTGTCGCGAGGTGAGCGAGTGCTAGCTTCCAACGCACATTTTCCATTTTCAACTAAATGCTGCTTGCCATAACGTGTATGAATCTCACAGACGTGACACAAGCAACGCAATCACTAGTTTAAAACTTCGTCTTCTGTTATCGCATAGTAGTGATACAGAGTACAACCCGAGCAGGGAAGAGGCTGACGAACACGAGGGAGACACGCAGGCGGGTTTTGCAGTGGTGATCAATGGTCACTCGTTGGTACATGCGCTACATCCACAGATGGAGCATCTCTTTTTGGACGTCTCCTGCCAATGTACGTTTAATCTCATTGCATTCAAATATATTAAAAACAAAAACAAAAACAACAAAAAAAAAAAACAAGTCTGTAATTTGCGATTTGTATGTGCAAAATTCCCTTACGAGCGGCTTGGAAAGGTGTTTGGAAATTTAGAGAATCTTTGCTCGACGGCTCGTTTTCCTAAAGCTTAATTATCAAGTTGACGAAACCCTCGCACCTTATATTACAGCCTTGATAAGTCATCGACTAATGAATGCTCAAACGAGATTAACTGACACTTTGTTTTATTTTATTTTTTTTTTTATTTTTTTTAAGGTAAATCGGTAATTTGCTGTCGAGTGACGCCTCTGCAAAAGGCAATGGTGGTCGAGCTCGTGAAGAAGAGCAAGGAAGCCGTGACCTTGGCCATTGGTGATGGGGCCAATGACGTATCGATGATAAAAACTGCTCACATCGGCGTCGGCATCAGTGGACAGGAAGGACTTCAGGCCGTGTTGGCTTCCGATTACTCGATCGGGCAATTCAGGTTCCTCGAAAGGTTGCTCATGGTTCACGGCAGATGGTCTTACTATCGAATGTCCAAGTTCCTCAGATATTTCTTTTACAAGAACTTTGCATTCACTTTGTGTCACATATGGTTCGCTTTCTTTTGCGGATTCAGTGCCCAGGTAAAGTAAAGTAATGCACTCTGAACGTTAGTTGCGCTAATCTTACTACGCTACGCTAATTTACTCATTACAAGTGATGAATGTAAGGCGAATGTGATTTTAAGAACTCCCGCGTCCGAGTTCATTTTTTCCTTCCTTTCTCTTTTTTTTTCTATTTTTCTTCTTTTGTTTCTTTATCTTTATTCTGTAACTCCGCGGTCGAAGAGCTTAGAAAATTGAACGCACGATCAATCTGATGTAATGAGCTCTCCCGAGTAGCCTAAATGCAACTAAAATATAAATACATCGAGTTGCCTGACGTATATAATCTTATATGATAATCACAATTTTTAGACCGTTTTCGATCCCATGTACATCTCCGTCTACAATTTGTTTTACACGTCACTGCCAGTCCTGGCAATTGGCATATTCGACCAAGACGTAAACGACAAAAACAGCTTAATGTATCCAAAATTGTATACACCGGGTCATCAGAATTTACTGTTTAATAAAAAAGAATTCTGTTGGAGCGCCCTTCACGGATTCTTTGCCAGTTGTGTACTGTTCTTGGTGCCCTATGGTAAGCCGAAATTTCTCTATTTTCATTATTTCTCACACGCGTACGTTTTATATGAAAAAGTCACCTCTAATCACGCGATGAATTCGCTCTCATTCAGGGACCTACAAGGATGGCGTTTCCCCGAAAGGCTACGTACTTTCGGATCACATGCTGCTGGGCAGTGTAGTGGCCACTATATTAGTCATAGTCGTAACGGTTCAAATAGCCCTCGATACCTCATACTGGACCATCATCAACCACTTTATGGTGTGGGGATCACTGATTTGGTACTTTATTCTAGACTACTTTTACAATTTCGTCATAGGAGGCAGCTACGTGGGTAGCCTTACGATGGTATGTATATTAAAGCGAGAGATCGCCACGTGGCTGACATTACCAGGGTCTGGGACCTTATGTACTTGTTCCAGGCAATGTCCGAGGCGACGTTCTGGTTCACGGCCGTCATATCCTGCATAATGCTGGTAATACCGGTGCTCTCGTGGCGCTTCTTCTTCATCGACGTACGACCGACGCTGTCGGACCGGGTGCGACTGAAGCAGCGTCTCGCCCAGATGCGCTCACGGCAAAGTCAGGATATACTGCGAACGCCCTCGACGAGGCGGACGCGTCGCTCGCTCCGCTCGGGCTACGCCTTCGCCCACCAAGAGGGCTTCGGCCGCCTCATCACCTCCGGCAAAATAATGCGCAAGCTGCCCAACGGCTCGGACTTCAAGTTTGCCATGCCCTTCGCCTCGAACAACGTGTCGAGGCAAGTGAGCGGCGCCGTCGCGACCTCGCCCAAGGACAACTCGTCGTCCAGGAGCTCGCACACGCCCGACACCATAAACCTCTGAGGAACGAGTGCATGTACGGACGATGTTGCAAGCTCGTACCTTGTGTATTATTTTGTGATACCGGAAGAAATATTGTCGACCTTACTTTTCTTTACGATTAACGACGACTGCTCGTTTATCGTTGTTATCCTTAAATTTAAACACCGGAGCTCGAGCCTCAAGCGAGCCACAATTGACTATAATAATAAGTACGTCGCTGTCGATGGCAAACGGTGAACGTTCAGTTTATTGTTCGGCTAGTGCAAATATTTGTACTTTCATTTACTTTGTAACTTAAAACGAGAAAAGCACGCGTGAAGGATGATCGGTCGGGGACGCTCGATGAGATTTTGATAACACGATGGTGTTGCGTGTTTCGGGATTTATCGAATATTAACTTATTACTGTTATTACTGTTGATTGGTTTTCTTTCTTTTTTCTTTTGTATTATTATTATTACTATTATTATTTTTATTATATATTTTTTTATTTTATTTTTTATTATTAGCCAGCCTTATTCTTAATGGATTTTTGGTTAATCAATCTTGAAGGTAAAGAATTATTGCTGGATCATAAGGGGACTTGAAGCAGCCGGAC